TACTAGGTGATTACACACACACACACACACACACGATCACACACACACACGATCACACACACACACGATCACACACACACACGATCACACACACACACACAAAGGTCCTCGCGGTCGAGTGGACAACCCTCAGGAATCGAAGTCCTAAAGACCCGGGTTCGATTCTCGGGCGTGGCAAAAATAAGTAGGTAGTTTACTTCACCTGATGCACCTGTTCAGCTAGCAGTAAACAGGTACTTAAGAGTTACATAGCTGCTACGGGCTACATACACTCTTTGGTTGTGTCCGGAGGGGGGGGGGTATATATAGAGAAATATATGTACTAGCAGATATGAGAGAAAATTAGGTTGGGAGTCAGTACACTAAACAACTGACAGTCAGAAAAGCGGGGTCCAAGAGCTAACAACAAGCACAAATAGTAAAGACAAATAATAAATAAATACACACACACGCGCCGGAGCTCTTGTTAGCATACTAGAAACAAACATTCATACATACTACACCCATACATAACCACATAAGTGAAAGCATTACTTTAACACTCACTAGAAAGTGACAATGAGAATATTCATTTAATTTTCCAGTCAGACCTTCCAGGAAGTTTTGGTACTGAAGGTTCAGAATGTTCCACTAATATTCCAGACTGAGTATATGAACTTCAATCCCTTCTTTACCAAGTAGAAAGCTAATTTAAGATCATCTCGATCTCCGCTATGAAACCACACACCGAGAGTCGGATTAATATTCTGGAGAAAAATTATTCCCTCTTCCAAACTATGTGCCATGATGGCTTCTTACACCACCTTACTGTTAATAACTAGCAAAAACACGAGGAGATGGCAACTTTATTCAGAGAGAGGTCCTCTAGTTAACAAGTGGGATTTATTATTCAACAGGTAATAAAATGGGATTTATTATTCAACGGTTAATAAATGGGATTTATTATTGAGCAGTTAATAAATGGGATTTATTATTCAACGGTTAATAAATGGGATTTATTTTTCAACGGTTAATAAATGGGATTTATTATTCAACGGTTAATAAATGGGATTTATTAACTGCTGAATAATTTCCTATTTTCTTAGTACAAATATATAAATACCTCGAAACTTTTTAATATTATTGTGACTGTCGTCTCTGACTGCTATTAATTTCCTAAGACATGCTGGTGTTTGAAGCCAGGGAAGGATGAGACAAATTATTGCCACCCCCAAGGTAAGTCTCTCATACATATACTTCAGAATGTGTTACAGATGAGCGAGTCGTAGTAATTGCTGGATGCGGATGTCCATTGCAACTTTTAATGCTGTACTTCCAATATTCTACCAGACAAGAGGAAACCAATATCTATCATTTAATCGTGAAAACTCGTTGTTTCCTAGATCTTACTCTGGCTTGGCTGGCTTTAGGTATCTCTGGGAGTTTACACTCATTCTGAATTAGATGGCACTATGTGTAGACCACGAGAAAAAAAATCCTACATCGATATATCTTTGTGTTTGACCCAAGGGAAAAAAGTAACTTAAAAATACTAATTTATATCAAATGTTCAAACATATAATAGAGATGTTATTATGAATTACACAATGTTTTTTTCGTATATTATTCTTTTTCCTTGTTACCCAGTTACCTTAAAAGAACATTAGCATTCATTTTTCCAATGTTGATCCCATCAGTGTCCGAAATATCCAGTTCAGTTCTTTAATTCAGTATACATGAGTCTCACACTGTATTCTGTGATAGCCAACGTAAACATTGCATCATTTAATAGCATACTGTATATGTTGTATCGTTATAACCTACTCCACCTGCTACTGAATGTTAACGATTTCTGTAACTAGTTATTAACGCCGTAACTTGCTTAACTAAATTAGTTTTAGTTACCACTACAAACGTTCACAATCAAAGACTGACAGAGACACAGTGAAACATACATTCACTGTATGTTTCACATACAGTGAAACACTGTATGTCAGACATACAGACAGAACAAACAGCAAAAACACTTAACTATTTTCTCTTAGCATTTAAAACATGTTTTCCAATAAATATCAGCCCTTCACAACGGCATTACGTCTGATTGAAATACTGAATGTGTATTTTTTCAACGCTTAAAATATGTATTTACATTTAAACTTCGTAGAGCGATAAAAATATTCCCTTACTGTGTGAAAATGCAATGTTAAAAACATAGCAAGAGAGAGAGAGAGAGAGAGACAGAGAGACAGAGAGACAGAGAGAGAGAGAGAGAGACAGACAGACAGAGACAGATAGACTAAAGCAGACGAGAGCAACAGAAAAGAGAAGAGAAACGCACGTACTAGAAACACCAGCAGCGCCCCTCACACGACCAACCCAAGGGCCATGAACGGCCCTGGTGAACCCTACCATAACCACGACAAAGCCCCGATGATCCTGGGCGTCGTTGTCCCGCCACTTCTCCTTTGAGCGACGATTGTATAGAGTCGTGTGTGGACTAGGAACTTCCATGCAGTCTGGAGGCGCGGCGCTTAAGCTTGCAGCGCCGGCAATGTCGGATCTACGACCGCTGCCCTAAATCCAAGGGTCCGGAAGGAATGAACGGAACTCAAAGACCCTTCATTCAGGGGATCCTTTGTGAAGGAAGCGACACTCGCGTGGAGGACAATAAATCCCCACAAATCTTCTCATCCTTCTCTTGGTAGAAGAAAGAAGAATAAATACGCAATGGGATTTTGCTCTAAGTTTATTTTCCGGGTAACGAAGGATTAAAGCCACCATTTAACTTGTAGGATGACGTACGTGCGTTCGCGAAGAGGGTTTGTAGTAGTCATATTGGCGATGGTGGTGACAGTGACGGTGATGGTGGTGGCGGGAATAGTGGTAGTACCAATACTCCGTAGATACAGAAGATGGCGACGGTAGCAGGGAAGATGCTGGGACCAGTGACGGTGATGGTAGATGCTGGGAGCTGGTGGCGGAAATGATGGTCCACTGCGATAGTTGTAACAGAGATGCTGGCGGAGGCACTGGTGAACGTGGAGATGGGAGAAGCGATGAATTGTGTCCTGGAAGGGGGAGGGGTGGTATAACGGGAAGGGTAGGATTGGTGAGAGGTATTGTACTGGGGTGGATGATTGTTCTCGGGGCCAGGAGACTCTGCTGGGGTAGATGACTGTTGTAGGGGGACCAGGAAACTGCTGGGGTGAATGTTGCAGGAGACTGTGCTGGGGTGGCTGGCAGTGAATCCGAAGAAAAAGGTCTGCGATTAACGAAGCAATGAATTTGGTGGATATAGTTAGGGAAATGTTATTTAAAATGCTCGGTAGAGAACAGAAGCTGCTGAATATACAACTAGAAGACTAAACCAGCTCATCGCAGTTACGGAAATGATTAGGAACGATACAAATTGAGCTCTTGAGGCTGAAGACATATCATAAGGAGATGGTTTCATAGATGCAAATTAGGAGTCAGATCTTCGTTGAAGAATGTGGGATGTCGCTTGGTAGGTACGGAGGATCCTAAGGGCTTCCCTGGGGTAGGAAACTAAATTGATGATGCAGTGGCTAACAAGAGGAAGCTGGGTATTAGCGAAAAAGATCATGAGAAACGAGTAAAAAAAAAAATTATATAATGGTACCAGCATAACACAGCTGTAGTCGCAACGACCTCAGACTCGAGTCAACATGGTGAGAGGGAAGAGGGAATGATGAAACTCGAGAAGACTGATACGACTCAAGAAGACAGAGTGGCGGCTCAGTAGAGATTCAAATAACTCAGGAGCACTAAGAGACGACGCGACATAAATCCAGTATTCTATAACATTACTTAACCATAGTGACGTCCTGCCCGTGATGGCAGTCGTGGGTGATAAGCAGACGCCGTACGACCGGCTGGCATCGTGACGTGGCACAGAAGACATAAACACCATAAAGAATGGAGCCTTAACAGAGGCTGAAAAACAGCATCAATCACCCCCAAAAGCCCATCAGGATGATCAACGAGAGCTGACACCGACAAGTGGAAAAAATGGAAGATATGTCTCCTTCTTCCTCTTGAAAGGAGTGAGGAGGAGGTAAGTAGGCCTTCCACAGCCCGTATACAACCCGCATAACAGTGAGGTGGGGTCTCCCACTCCTCTTTGTTCACACACAGCCCAAACCAGCTCACGTGTCCAGCTCATATTGGGGTAAATGTAGAAAAGCTCAATTTAAAGTAAACAAGCTGTGCTCAGCACTGTCTGTTCTAAGTTAACTTAGCTCAGCATTGCTCAGCATGGCGTTGACGAGGCGCGAGGCGTTCCTTACATGAGGCGTTCCATCATACAACAGTCTAAGCCATCCCGTGCAGCGCAGACAACTCTGCAACTTCTCCTTTATCCCCTTGTTTCCTCCTCTATCTTCTTTCCAATTCTCTTCCCCCCCCCCATTCTACCTTCTTCCCATCTTTTTCCTCCCCTTTACCATCTGTTCCATTTCCCTTCTCTACTCCCTTCCATTCTTCCCACCTTATGGAAGCTTAATCCAGCACTGCACAACACGTCCTACCCCAACCCAGTCAAGTCCTCATCGCAGCCAAACCCAATTAAGTCCCAGCCGAACCCAGTCAAGGCCTCTACCCAGGGGAATATTTCTATTGTACATAAAAGATTTCTCATAAGGAGCCGCCAAGACTCGCCATATTCTGACAAGACGGAGCTAATAAGTTTGGTCTGGTTCAATGGGGAAGACTGACAATGGGACCGGCTGTAATGAGGGCCGCGTTGTGGGGGGGGTGGGATGGGGGACGCTGATTCCAGGCTTCTTAGAGCCTTGAGCTGTTAGTCAGGAGCACTTGGCGCTAATCCCTGAGCCTTCAGCTATCAGCACTCAACCCGAAGTTGATTGTTCATGAGGTAGTCAAATACTCTTGGGATTCTTGAGCGTCTTAGTTTTGATCTTTGGAGGTTGAATTCTTTCCTCGCATGAAGTTTATTTTTGCATTCTTTTCTTATATTTTTACCCCGCCCCCCCCTACCATAGTTCTCTCCCAGGCGCCAGCTCCCAGAGTTCTCTCCCTGGCGCCAGCTCCCACAGTTCTCTCCCTGGCGCCAGCTCCCACAGTTCTCTCCCTGGCGCCAGCTCCCACAGTTCTCTCCCTGGCGCCAGCTCCCACAGTTCTCTCCCTGGCGCCAGCTCCCACAGTTCTCTCCCTGGCGCCAACCCCCAAAGTTCTCTCCCTGGCGCCAGCTCCCACAGTTCTCTCCCTGTCGCCAGCTCCCACAGTTCTCTCCCTGGCGCCAGCTCCCACAGTTCTCTCCCTGGCGCCAGCTCCCACAGTTCTCTCCCTGGCGCCAGCTCCCACAGTTCTCTCCCTGGCGCCAGCTCCCACAGTTCTCTCCATGGCGCCAGCTCCCACAGTTCTCTCCATGGCGCCAGCTCCCACAGTTCTCTCCCTGGCGCCAGCTCCCATAGTTCTCTCCCTGGCGCCAGCTCCCACAGTTCTCTTCCTGGCGCCAGCTCCCACAGTTCTCTCCCTGGCGCCAGCTCCCACAGTTCTCTCCCTGGCGCCAGCTCCCACAGTTCTCTCCCTGTCGCCAGCTCCCACAGTTCTCTCCCTGGCGCCAGCTCCCACAGTTCTCTCCCTGGCGCCAGCTCTCACAGTTCTCTTCCTGGCGCCAGCTCCCATAGTTCTCTTCCTGGCGCCAGCTCCCATAGTTCTCTCCCTGGCGCCAGCTCCCACAGTTCTCTCCCTGGCGCCAGCTCCCACAGTTCTCTCCCTGGCGCCAGCTCCCACAGTTCTCTTCCTGGCGCCAGCTCCCACAGTTCTCTCCCTGGCGCCAGCTCCCACAGTTCTCTCCCTGGCGCCAGCTCCCATAGTTCTCTCCCTGGCGCCAGCTCCCACAGTTCTCTCCCTGGCGCTAGCTCCCACAGTTCTCTCCCTGGCGCCAGCTCCCAAAGTTCTCTCCCTGGCGCCAACCCCCACAGTTCTCTCCCTGGCGCCAGCTCTCCCAGTTCTCTCCCTGGAGCCAGCTCCCACAGTTCTCTCCCTGGCGCCAGCTCCCCCAGTTCTCTCCCAGGGAGAGAAATTCAATGTTCTTATATGCTGACTAATCTACTTGAGCCTCCTCCCGTATATCCTCTCTCTCGCATATATCCTCTTCCTCGTATATATCCTCGTCCTGGAGTATATCCTGAACCTCATATGTAGCTTCCTACTGGCGTATATCCTTCTCACGTAGGATATCCTCTCTCTCTCTCTCTCGTGAATATCCTGATGACTCAAACACCTGACTCTATTTTTAATTCGCGTATATCCTCACTGCACCTTTCTCCGTCCCTCATCAACCAGCCTTTGGCGTCGTATAAGCGTGAGTCACGTCTGCGTTGCGTCACGCACACTCCACACTGGGTTTGCGTCACAGGGGGGGGGGCGGAAGGCGAAATTGCGTAGGTGCGTCAATTTTCCTTGAAATAAATGGCTTCTCATTCAGCCATCGGCTTTTCCCAGTGATAATTCAGTCGACCAAATTGTATTGCTTTCCCAATACTCCCGCTGGCCACGACTGATTTAGAGTTTGGGTCGGGTGATTTAGACTTTGACAACGAATTTAGACGTCTGATTGAAAGATTTAGACTTTAAGAGTTACATTTTGATTTTTTTATAGCTGTTTTTGGTGGATAATGAAGCGAATTAGGACCTTAGTTTGGCTGATTTGGAAGTTTTCTCAGTTAAGACTTTGCAAAGGCTGATTTTAAACAGGGAATGAATTTGTTATTCTTTGATACGGCTGATTTAGAATTAAAAAAAAAGACTAATTCAGACCTTGGCATGCCCTGTTATTGCTGGTTTAGACTGGCAGACTTTTTATCAGCTTTGATGCTCCTAATTTGGGCATTGGCATGTCTCATGAAGTAAGACTGAGTTTCATATTTTTAAGTTGGATAATTCGTATTCTGCAGTACCTACACAAGTCTGATTTAGGTTTAAGAAAAGCATTTGTAGACTTTTGCACAGTTATTATAATTTTACGCGCGTCTGATTTCGTTCTTAGATAATGGTGAATTAATCCTCGAAGTAGATAAAGGTTCCGCAGCATTGCTATTCAACGCAACGATTATGTACTGCAATGTTTCCACACACACACACACACACACACACACACACACACACACACACACACACACACACACAGTTGATTGACAGTTGAGAGGCGGGACCAAAGAGTCAAAGCTCAACCCCCGCAAGCACAATTAGGTGAGTACAATTAGGTGAGTACACACACACACCAATCCTGGAGTTTGCGGCTCCAGCATGGGGTCCATATCTAGTCAAGCATAAGACTAAACTGGAAAAGGTTCAAAGGTTTGCCACCAGACTAGTACCCGAGCTGAGAGGTATGAGCTACGAGGAGAGACTACGGGAATTAAACCTCACTTCGTTGGAAGACAGAAGAGTTAGGGGGGACATGATCACCACATTCAAGATTCTCAAGGGAATCGACAGGGTTGATAAAGACAGGCTATTTAACACAAGGGGCACACGCACTAGGGGACACAGGTGGAAACTGAGTGCCCAAATGAGTCACAGAGATATTAGAAAGAACTTTTTTAGTGTCAGAGTGGTTGACAAATGGAATGCACTAGGAAGCGATGTGGTGGAGGCTGACTCCATACACAGTTTCAAGTGTAGATATGATAGAGCCCAGTAGGCTCAGGAACCTTTACCCCTATTGATTGACGGTTGAGAGGCGGGACCCAAGAGCCAAATCCAAAGCTCAACCCTCGCAAGCACTAGTAGGTGAGTACATACATATGTGAAAGTTGTGTATGTATTTATATACAAATATTTTTCATTCTAACCATCCTTGCAGTCAGTTCATCTCACACCATCACTGATCTCACCTGTACTGGACACCATCATTAATCTCACCTGTACTGGACACCATCATTAATCTCACCTGTACTGGACACCATCATTAATCTCACCTGTACTGGACCACCATCATTAATCTCACTTGTACTGGACCCCATCATTAATCTCACCTGTACTGGACACCATCATTAATCTCACCTGTACTGGACCCCATATTTATTCCCGCTCTCAAATCTCCTCATTATCACCTAAATTAATTTTTGATTCTGTGATCCATATTTAATCAGCCCTGAGGCTCCCCGTAGCGTAGACTTTCGTGGGCTGAGAATAGACTCGCGGGGTGAAGAGTAGACGAGTAGACACGGGAAACTTTCAATACTCATAATTTTTACCACTTCACCGTCATGTTCACTGTTATCATATTATAATAAAAAATTATTTAAAAAAAAATCAAATATTTATATTTTAATTAAAAGATGTGAGCGCTATTCGAGTAAAAAATAAAATCTCCGAAACAATTCAAAGCCATTTTAAACAATTTCAACTTGTGCATCATCTAGTTTTAAGTAAAGTCTAACCGCTCAAGTGAACCCTTCCACCACCTTTCTGTGCGGATATCTGGCTTGCAAGATTCCCTCTATGGTTTGTGTTAATCTCTCTCCTATGGTCATAGCATTGTGACCCGCCATAAAAGCTCCCACTTGCAAAGTTTAGCAAGACCTTGACCCACATGGTAAATGTTTCTATCTCTCCTACGGTTGTGAAACACATTTTCCTTGAATATTTTTTCTTTAAACTCCCGCTCCATCGCCCTCAAAACTGATGGGGGTCCAAGTCTTGGCTACTCCCGTTGCCTTTCCTGACCAAATCTCGATGTGCTGTTGCTGGCCCCCAGAAACTAGCGCCTTCACGGCTTAACTTCATGCAATCTTGTATGCAATGCGTCAACTGCTTTCCCGACGTCAACATCCCATTGTCATTGTGCTTGACAATCGTAGTTCCCTCGTGTCTCCGGAGTCAATTACCCCTATGAATTGAGTCATTCTCTAATATAATAAAAGCTTGGCTGAAATAGCGTTCAGCATTCTCCAATTTGTCAATGCTGTTTTTCCGCATTCTTAGGATCAGTGTTTTCGTGATCGTTGCTGCACACACACACACACACACACACACACACACACACACACACACACACACACACACACACACACACACACATGTAAACATCTTCCAGTAACCTAGAGTAAATCAATAAGCAATATCCCAGTAACTCGACACAGCAACAAATGCACAGCTTCTGGGCCATCCTGCGCCCTCGCTCTCTATACTCTACTGGAACGTAAAACGGATATTTTCAGAATTCACGGTGAAATTAAGAATTTTATGCACATGCAAAACGGCTCGGGTCTTGATTAAAAATATTCTGGAGTAATACCAGCGCATGCAAAGGTAGAGGCAGCACAGAAATAATATTTGATATACCAATATAAAACTCGTTTTATAACAGGCTTGAGTGAGAGAGGGAGAGAAGTGGTACGAGAAAATATATCTTGTTATTATTTATAATTATTATTAAAATTATTATTATTATGGTTATTATTATTATTATTTTCATTAGCATTATTATTATTGCTAGTTAGGCTCAACATATGCAGGTATCTATTTTTGTGTATGTCTCTATTTAGAATTTGCTATGCACTAATTGAATTGCAAAGATTGCTTTCACTAGTACAAATACCACATTTACTATCACAAACATCACATAAATCATACAATTATAAATTAGCACAAACATCACATGAGCACAAACATCCCAATAACACAACACATTACAAGTAACAAAGCGTAACAAACAACTTAATAACAACATTACAATCACAACCGGAATTATAACACTGACAATCACATTTCTTGAAGAAACACTCAAGAAGTCTGGCATATATAACAGCAAAATTCAGATAATTCTTCTCCATTCTCAAAACATTTCAGTGTCGGGAAGCAAGGAAATAATGTCCTAAAATTGCCAATTATTAAAAAAAGACATAGGCGTAATCACCGAGAAAATGTTACCATACCATTCTATGGAAAGCAAGCGGTATTACACCAAAATCATCTAAAAAAATTATTCAACCACAAGAAATCAATTCGGTGTGTTTGTAAGATGCTTGGTATGAATTTAGACTTAGCGGCCACAACTGCCCACCACTGGCGACCAATCTTGACTTAAATTTCTTCCAAAAGTAGGTAAACATAGGCTCTAATAGGGAGGAAAGGGGCTAACACCTGCGCAGGCCCCAAGACGCAAATGTGGGTTCGTATGTCTGTGTGGAATGTGAGAGGAATGCATCAGGAACAGAAGTTAGAAATGTCAAATGTTTTAAAGACTAAAGATTGCCTTAAATTGCTGAGTTGATGCGAGACAGATACAATGAAATAACACTGTGTAATTAAAGCCAGTAATAATAGAAGTGCTTGAGTGACGCAATGATGACAGTGACACAATGATGTCTTGATAGAGTGAAGCAATGATGTATTTATGCAGTGATGCAGCAGTTATGTTGTGATGTAGTAATACAATGATTAAGTAATGCAATAGTTCATTGGAGTAGTGATGCATTGATATAATGATGAAATAATACAGCAATATAGCCACGCTTAGATATAGTCACACTGTGATATAGAGATGCATTGATCTAGTGATACAGTGATAATGTGGAAAGATAATGCTGTGATGGAATTATATTTAAAAAAATGCATTGATAGTGTCATATGACACACAGTACAAGGCACTGTTGTACAAGCGTGGAAACAGAACACAAATGTACACGAATAATACAAGACACTGACTGACTCGGGTATAATACAAGACACTGACTGACTCGGGTATAATACAAGACACTGACTGACTCGGGTATAATACTAGACACTGACTGACTCGGGTATAATACAAGACACTGACTGACTCGGGAATAATACAAGACACTGACTGACTCGGGTATAATACAAGACACTGACTGACTCGGGTATAATACAAGACACTGACTGACTCGGGTATAATACAAGACACTGACTGACTCGTGTATAATACAAGACACTGACTGACTCGGGTATAATACAAGACACTGACTGACTCGTGTATAATACAAGACACTGACTGACTCGGGTATAATACAAGACACTGACTGACTCGGGTATAATACAAGACACTGACTGACTTGGGTATAATACAAGACA